CCAGGTCATGATCTCACAGTTCCTGGGATTCAAGTTCCACATCAGGCTCTGCACTGACAGTGCAGATACTGCTTTGCTTGGGATTCTCTCTCTCTCACTCTCTCTAACTCTCTCTCTCTCTTTCTCCCCTTCCCCTGCTCTCATGTGCTCTCTCTCTCTTTCTCTCTGTCTCATGAATAAATATTTAAAAAAAAAGAAATATCACAGACTTCATTGGTTTTAAAAATTTTTCATAAGACCGCTCTACTCAATTGGTGGGCAAAACAAAACACTGCAAAATTTTATTGCTGCTACAATGTGAAGCAGAATTTCAACATAGATTATTCAGTTGTAGCTTCAAGGGCAATTTGATCGGTAGACAAGAAATATAGCTGTTATGGCAAAAGCATGGCACATTCTTTGTGTAGCAATTAAGGTATGTATTTTTAAGTTGAAGTTAATAAAACAAATAAAGTGGTGTTTTCACCAAGAAGTCAGTATTATCACAACCAATACTGTCTTCAAAAAAAGAAAAGAGAAAATATTAAGTTGATTTAGAAGAATCTTCAAGACAAATGAACAATAAGAAACTCACCAAAGTGGAAAAACACTTAAGAGCTCTTTTAACACATATATTGGTAGGACTTATTATTTGCTATCTAATTCTACAGTAACATCCTATTTCCACTGAATGTTTGTCTTGCCTTATTCTTCAATATATCATAAACTTATAGAGAATAAAAACCATAAGGGCAGGGAATTGGCTACTTTCTCATTGCCACTAGTGCCCATTCCAGTCCCCTAGTATATTAAAGTAACAAGTAAGAAGCAAAGAACAAGCCAGAGCTAGGATAAAATTCCAGCATGATCTTTCCTACATTATGTAGCTGACTGAGGATTTTCTAAAAAATCTCTAGTTGATATAATGGCCACCCTGTAACCCTAGGATAACCAGATTTAGGGTATGCTTTTGGACTAATGTATTTATTCAGTAAATATTTTCTGAAATTCAAGTTTGTTCCTGACATTATTTTAGGTAGTGGAGATATTAAGGTAAACAAACAGACATGAAATGTATATTATAGAGAGATGGGTAGTCGATTATCAAGTATGTAGCACTGCATAATATCAGGTGGATATTATTATAAGGTTAAGGGAAAACTATAAAATAAGAACAAAACAAAAAGGAGGTTGCTATTTTTTCACTTTTTATGATATAGAAAGAAATGGTTTTTCCTAAGAAGAGACAGGGAGAATGGCATGGTGGAATTGTCCTTGAGATTATCTGGAAAAGTATCTTCTAAGTTTCTGGAGAGAACACCAAGTTTCTGGGAGTGGTGGAACAGGAAAATCATGTTTGGTGTGAAGAACACAAGGAAGCTGATGTGTATCCATCCCTGATGTGATATTAGGGAAGGTTTTCTGGCCATGGTGAGGCCTTTGCACTAAGTTCCAAATGACACAGGGAGCCGTGGGGTGAAAGACTACAGTTAGCAAAAGACTGTCTTTTCAAGATTCATGATGTGAAAGAGAATTATGGCCATTACTGTGGCAATGCATTCTAAAGGATGCAAAATGGAATTGAGAAACCAAGTAGGAGGTGAGATTCCAGTGGTGCAGGGGAGACATGATGGTGGCTTATACTAAGCACAGTGGAGAACTGGGGGTATTTCTAATACAACATGAAGACAGAGTCTATGTGATTTGATGGCAGAATGTGTAATATGAAATGGGATGTGAGAAAAAGAGGGCATCTAGAATGCCACCTGTTCGTGACATTTGCTGAAGGAGAAGACACATGGGGACGATGAAAGTTTAGGGGATGTTGAAATCCAGAGTTCATTTAGGACATGTTAATTTTGTTGTTAGCTCTCCAAGGAGTAATGTTGAACTGGCAGATGGAGAGATGAAAGTGAAGTTCAGAGAAGGAGTAGACTGTTGAGGAGGAAGTTACAAGCCACTGGGGAAGAGAGGACTGCTAGACACACCTACTAAGCACAGATCCATCAAGAAAGTATAGTTCAAGCAAGGGCAGATCTGTCAAGCATGATGGATTTTAGATGGGACAAAACTTAATCCCCTTAGAGGCGTATTGCACAGAATTGAACAAAGCAACGAGCTGTTTCTGGGTCTTTCAGTATCTCTCAAGGCCAGAGGTTCTTTTCTCAGGAACCTTGATTTTTGCTGACAGCACAACAGAGTTGGAACAAGAGGGATTTTACACAGCACCATGCACACGGGGGGAATGCAGTTTTCATGACTGAATCAGTGAAATAATAAGAAGGTCTTTCCCCTCTCAGAACTGAGATTCAACATTCCCAATGTTTACCGAGTATTTGAAAACTTTAAGTCAAATAAGAGGGCCTGCAACTACAACATAAATGGTTTCTGGAGAGTGAAGGCGAGTCCAACTTTGGTGAATGAGGGTGTCACCTCTTTTGATGTTAATAGCTTATGTCAAATCTTATAGCATACCAACTAATTTCCTTTATTAATAAAAAATATTGTCCTAAAAATAGCTTCCTTTGATGCCTCATTGGTCCTTTTCTTCAACTTGTAAAATGTTTTAATGGTTTATATCGACATGGATTTCCTAGGTCTTATCCTGAATTTTTGCAATGAAAATCTGCAGTGTATGAAATGTCCTTCCTTCCCTTCTCAGACCCCTGATTATTTTGACCAAGTGCCTGCTGGCTTAGTGCATTGTCAATGTCAGTTGGACTTTGCTGTCATGACCAGATTATAGCTATGAGTTTTGGTCATTATTATAAAGGGTCTCACTTATGATAAGAAATGTTGGAAAAGTAAGAAGTTGCAAATGCAGATATGATAAATTGAAGTGCCACAGGTTGCCTTGATGTTACATGTAAATGTTATTTATTGTTATTCACTCCACATCTTAAGCTTATGTGATATATTCTTAGAATAACTAGTGAGCAGGCCTTAATTAGGCTGTGGATATGCAATGGTAACAGACACTAAGTCTACCAGTAAGCTTCCAGAAAGATAATAAATAAGCAAACAAACAAATATTCATGTACAATTTTATATATTTATAATTATTATAAATTATTATTATATATTGTATATATAATTACAGCTTATAAGGTCAACAAACATAGTACAAGAAAGATGGGACTTGCTTAAATTGAGTGACCAGGAATAGTGCTTCAGAGGAAGTGACAATTAAACTGAAATTTGAAGGATAAAAAAAGGTCAACCGTGTGAACACTGGGACATGTGGGAGAGTGATCTAATAATTGGAAAAGGGAACAGTGTGTAAACATTCTGTGGCAGGTGCATTAGGGAAAGATGAAGACATGTGGTGGAGAACGGAGAGACAAAGAAGTTAAGGGAAAACAAGTAACCAGGTGAGATTGGAAGGCAAGCAAGATCTTTAGAACTTGGTGAGTTTATTAGTGTTTCATTTTGGAAGCAGAACAAATAGCAAGAGTTGGCCTTGCATGTATGGGTGTTAGCCTCTTCAGATCAGTTTATTTTCACCTTTTAAAGTTCAATACCAATTGATCTGCTATGTAAGGCTTATTCCTTATGGCCTTTATGATTGAATTTATCTTGGAGATTATTAATCCTGATTTCTGCAGAACTACCATGTTATTAAAAAAATAAAATCTTGAATTGTAGTAAGTACATAATATAAGAGTTAGAGTCAAAGTAGTATGGATTCAAGTATTTGTAAGCAGTTACTGTGCGATCTTTGGCAATTAATCTCTCTGAGTCTCTGTTTCATTAGCAATAAAATGGGGATAATATTTAGTTAATCAGGTGGTTGTAAGAATTGATTGAGATGATATATGTCAAGTGTTTGTCATAGAATAAGGTCTCAATAAATAGAAGACTATTAATTATTATAATCACTACTCTTAAACTTACTGCTACCAGATGAAATAATAAATTTTTGAAAATAGATATTCAATTGTAAAGGGTTAATCTAGCATCTTATTTGGGAAAAGCAAATGAGTGAGTTGAGTATGTTGAAATTACTTACGAATTTTCTACATAGGAGTTGGTCATTCTAATTGGACAGGGCAGATAGATCACCTCATATGTGACTAGTGCAGAAAATATACAAGGGAAGTAATCCAATTTGAGAAGCGCATCTCAATGACAGAGGTCTTCAAAAAATATAAGCAGAGTGGAAACTCCAGGATTTGCTACTTTAAAGAAGTTTTAAATTATATTTCAATATTATAAAATTTAGTGTTTTTTTAATGTACTCACTACTTGTTAAGCCAGATACAGACACAGATGAAAAAATTGTACTTGTCCCAGAGGAGACACTATATATAAACACAGAATTGCAATACAATAAGAAGCATGGAGTGTACCTTTTGTACCTCCAGACTACATTCCAGAAAATGTCAATGGTTTAGTATTCTAAAACTTGGCATATACCTCTATCTCATTCTTTGTTACATTACGGTATATCTGTACACACATGTACAGGAAATATACTCACTGTGTATGTATTATGGTGTCATGATGCCTGGTGATACTTGAGAAAGACCCTCTGGAAGTAGTATCTCTGACTTTATAACCTTTTTCTAATGCTTATTAGTCATATGATTTTGGACAAACTACTTAACCTCCCTGAGCTTTCATCTCTTCAAATATGAGGGGCGCGTGGGTGGCTTAGTCGGTTAAGCGTCCGACTTTCGCTTAGGTCATGATCTCGCGGTTCGCGGGTTCGAGCCCCGCGTCGGGCTCTGTGCTGACTGCCAGCTCGGAGCCTGGAGCCTATTTCAGAGTCTGTGTCTCCCTCTCTCTCTGACCCTCCCCTGCTCACGCTGTCTCTCTCTCTCCTAGAAATAAATAAAACATTAAAAAAAATTTTTTTTTCAAATATGAAGCAGGGATATTAGAATCTATCCCATAACCTTGAAAAGACGGCATAAGATAATGCTGGTGAAGAATTGGACCAGGGCCTGACACAGGGAGATTCAAGAAATATTAGCTGTTACTTCTATTGTTTTAAATCATTGTTTTATTTTTATTCTTAGCAGCAGCAGAAGTTTTATGAAATCAAGAAAGATGAGCTTTCCAGGGGCTGTTATCATCCTGTTTTAGAGGACACGTACTGAGATCCCCCCAAACCTTCACTCCATCAAGAATAGAAACATTTCTGTGGCCCTTGGTAAGTGCCCAGCAGTGATCTAACTGCTATACAAGTATTAAATCATTTATCAGACTAAGAATGAGATAGCAACTATTATTAGTATACTGTGTCACATTATACTAAAAGGGAAGCTTCTGTACTAACTATTGAATGAGAGGAAAGGCAATTTCCAGAAAACCATTGCTGACGGGATAATCCCATAGTGTTCTTACCACCCTCCCTGCTTCCTGCCTCCCCTCCCTCCCTCTTTTATATTGAAAAAAATGCACTCAGGGGTGCCTGGGTAGTTCAGTAGGTTAAGCTTCCAACTGGGACTCACGTCATGATCCCTCAGTTTGTGCGTTCGAGCCCTCCTCAGGCTCTGTGCTGACAGCTCAGAGCCTGGACCCTCCTTTGGATTCTCTGTTTCCCTCTTTCTCTGTCCCTCCTCTACTCATGCTCTCTCTCTCTCTCTCTCTCTCTCTCTCTGTCTCTCAAAAATAAACATCAAAATAATTTTTAAGTGGGTTCAGATACTACAACTTTCCTACTTTCTTTCTAATAATATATCATAGACTTTTTTAGATGTTATTACCTATAGATCCATCTCATTATGCTTACAGTTTATAGATTTTTAATTTTTCAAGATGAAGAGAGTTCTGGACATAAATGGTAGGATGGTTGCACAGTAATATGAATGTACTTAATACCAAAGAATTGTACACTTCAAAATGGCTCAGTAGTGAATTTTGTTATGTGTATTCTACCATAGTAAAAAATGGGAGAAAAGTAAAGGTTATAGAATTTCAAGGCTGTACTAGATTTTGTTTAAACTCTCTCTACTGAAGGATATTTAGATTATTTCTAAACCTTCACCCTTATAAGCAATGCTGTAATGAATATCACAAAACTTTTCTTTGAACACTCATTTTCTGTAGTGTATGATAATAAAATGATAGGTACAATTTACTGAGAGCTTACTATGTACCAAGCACCATGCTAAGCATGTTACATGGGTAATCTCATTTGAACCCCATACTAATCCTGTATGGTTGATACTCTTTGTCCTCTCTCCAGATTATGCAGGTTGTTCCTTGCTCAGAGGTACCTGCTTGAGGTGGGAAGTTGGGGCTGACATCCAGCTTTAACTTTTCACCAAACCTTGGCACAAGATTGTTTTCCACAGAAAGAAGGAGGTTTTATTCTAAAATGCCCAAAGATGCCTTCTGGTTGTCAAACTTTGTGTCCCTAGCTTGTCTTTATCCTGAGGGAGCAAGCTTTTCTAATCCTGGAGCATTTTATGGGCCAGCTACAGTCCTGTAGTTTTCTCTAACTTGTGTTGCAGAGCCAGGATTGAATTCCAGAAGTCTCCATGAGAAGTCTACACAAATACCTCCTGGAGGAATTAATTCCCAGGAGTGCAACTGCTAAGTCAAAGGGTAGACACATTGAAGATGTTGAGTTTCTTCCAAAAACACTTTTACCTATTTATCCTCCGCAAATAGTTTCTAAGAAATTTTGTTTCCTCACACCCTAGGAAATCTGGGATTTCACAATTCTTTTTAATACCTGTTAGGTTTATATTATCATAGTGCAAAACGTTACCAGACACAGCTACATTTTTCCCATTGTTATTTGATCCAATCCATGATAACTAATACTTTTTCATTATTTGACATTTTGTGCTAAAAGCAAAAGTAGATGTTTAAAAATCTTGGAAAATCGATGTTGTGTTGGCATTGATTTTGCTCCACCTGAGAAACTTGATTATGAGAATATAGTTCTTTTGAGCATACTTGATAAAGCGATTTGGTTATACAAAGACTTAGACTTGTTTAGGTGATAGTTTGAGGTTTGTGAGAGCAGATATAGATACTAAAATGTCTTACTGTATTTTAAAAGGCTGTTTGATCCATTGTTATGCCATTTCCCTTGGTATAAGCAAAATCTATTTTATTAGAATATTTGCCAGTCATAAGCTACAGCTATGGACAGTGTATGTGTTTTATATGAAGCGACTTCAAAGCCTGTGTCAATAGAATCATCAAGGCCTTCCAGTCCAGGCATACTTGTAAATTGCTAGTGTCCTTTTGTCTTTTAAAATCTTCTGATGTGGAGAATGGATAAAAGTTTGGAATCATTTTGTAAAGTCTCATTTAGGATTTCATTCATGCAAATGCACAATTTTTATTTTTTTCCTCAAATCCTTCCTTTATCATATTAGCCCAAACTTTCTCTCATTTTAATCTATTCCATGTTTTCCATTTTAATTCTGTTTACTATCTTTTGATGTCCAACAAACATGTAGCCTCAAATAAAAACCAAATGGATCTCACTCTCAGTCCCATGAAACAACTCTAGAGAGGTAGAAAAAGTAGAGGCCAGTTGTTCTTTCTTTCCCCTAGAGATCTACTATGAGTCCCTCAAAGGAAGAAGAATCACAGATCTCATCCTGACACAATCACAATTTAAACAGTAGCTAACACTATTTGCCAGGTGCAATGCCAAATATTTTCCATATATTGATCTCCTTTATCTTAAGCACCTAGTTTTCAGATAAGAAAATTGAAGCATAGATATGCTAAAAAACTTACCTAAAGTCAAATAGATTTGGACCAAATAGCTTGGTCCACCTCTCTTAACCATTATATTATACTGCAGAGAGAAGGAAGTTTATTTTAGGTGAAACAGGGTCCACTTTTGACTATGTGTTCAGGAGACAAGTATAATTAAATGATATTAATGTTTGCTATACCTTCTCCCTGCCACTTCTATGCTCTCTTAAGACTCAGTTCTCTGTGTAGAGAGAGAGAGAGAGAGAGAAACGAAAGAGAGAAAAAGTTATCAACAGATTCTGCAACTGGGTCAGGTTATGGTTTGGTAGCAGAAATTCGTTTGCTAAAATAGGCTAGAATCAACAAATTTTAAATGAAAAGAGATGATTTTTAACTTGATAAGACAGTGGGAAGAGGAAAGAGAAAGAATACTGAAGAGTTCAATCAGATTATATCACATCCTAGTATAAGAGTGAAATGAGCACCTAAGACACACTGAAGGATGGCTAATTCCTTTTAGGAAAGCTTTCCAACAATTTCTCCATCACTTTATGGAGCCTTTCTAGTTATGCCCTAATAGCAACACCAATAGTATTAGTATTAATAATAATAATAGTGACAGTGCTAGCTGAGCAGCCAGTAAAGCACTAGCAATTGTACAAGCATGGAATTTAGAGCCAGAAGATCCATCTCCAAAAACTGAATACTTTGTTTTGTATACTGCAAAAACTTCTACTCACAAGTTTTGTGACCTTAGAGAAGTGAGTCTCTTCCAGCCTTCATTTTTTCATAATGATATCTACTTTGTAGTATAGTTAGGAATAAGTGAAATGATTATTATAATCACCTAGAATATACTGACACATAGTAGGTCCATAATATCTGTAAGAAATGTTAGTTTCTTTTTCTTCTTTCTTTTCCCATCTTTTTCTCCCTCCTTACCTCCCCTCTCCTATCTTCTTTCCCTCCACTGTGGCCTTTAACTTCCTCAATTAGAATGGAAAAAGCCTGATGTCTGATAGTTTCTAAAAACATCATTCATTTTCCCATATTGACATGCTGCTACCCAAATCTTCTGTACCATTACTCCCAGCATCTAATGGAATTACTTAGTGCTTTTTATAAGGTTAGTATGATTTTTCTAGTGCTCTTGGGTCAGTATAGGCTTATTTAAGAATCCCCTTGTAACACATGTATTCATTTTGTCATTTCTTCAAAATATATGTCACCATGGAAACCAAAAATTTTAAATCCAGTAACAAAAGCAAAATGTAATAAATCCATTTAGGTTAAGACTTTTATGCTTATAACCCTTCTTTAGAGGGTCCTCTTAAAACATTGTCTTCATGTTGAGCATTAAGCATAAGGGCAGTTGCCTCTTTTGATTTGGATACGAATTAAAGTGAGTATTATGATTAGATATGTCCAGGACTCATAGATTGTGCTAACAAGTGAAAGTTTTATGTCAACTCTTATGTTGTGTTTTTTACAAAAAAATCAGGCCAATGACAGGATCCTGGGTGGCTCAATCATTTTACTGTTGCCTCTTGATTTTGGCTCAGGTCACGATCTCAGGATCATGCAGTCAAGCCCGTATTAGGTTCTGTGCTGCACATGGAGTTGCTGGGGGTTCTCTCTCTCCCTCTGTCTCTGCCCTTCCCCCACTCAAGTGTGCTCTCTCTCTCTCAAAATAAATACATAAACATAAAAAAATTAAGCAAATGGAACAGCAAATGGAACACAAATAAATGTGTCAACTCAATTGTTATTGCAATGACATCATTCCTGGCTACAAACATAGTCTGGTTAAGGTTGTATCCTGCCTTAGGCACAGAGATAGGGCTTGTTCAGTTAGACCCAGTGATGGCAAGTGACAGAAACTGACTATAGCTAACTCATGCAGAGGAGACAGAATGTCAGTTACCTGCATGACAAGAGAAATGGGAAGAGTAATGAGAACACTAGAAAATCAAGGTACTGTAAATATAAGACTCAGATTTTTGAGTCTAGACAACTAGAACTAGTCAGAGGAACTTCTTCAGCTAATGATTTTTCCTGCCCTTACATCATGCTTCTTCAGATTTAAAGTCTTAGGAGGGAGAATCTGATTTAACTTGCTTGATTTAGGGGATTGAGAGTGGGCACATTGAACAAGAGCCCCACTGTGTGAGTTTTTCCTGACAATGACTCCGTTATTTGGAAATATTTTTATGAAAAGAAGTTTATAGAGATTTTATAAAAATTTTTAAAGATAAAAAACCATTTAGACTTTGATTTAATGTAGAACAATGTATAATAAAATTTACCGAATAGTAAATGTTTTTAAGCAGTGTTTGGTCATGGTAAGAATACATTTTTATTTCATAATTCTAGCCTTGACACTAACCAGCTTTATGAATTTAGGACAATAACATTATTTTTGGATATCTAATTTTGTACCTACTTAAAATAAGGACATTGGGTAAAGATCTCTTTAAG